CGGATAAGCGGAAGAAGATGGATGGATGGATGGAAATGACGATGAAGATTTTTCTATTGAACTGAAGAAACTGTAACGAGGTATCCGTGGTAGTGTAATAAATCTCCGGCTCGTCTTCGGCCTCGCAGCAAGAACTACGTCTCTGTGCGTTATTTCCTTTACTTAGATATTTAAGAGTATAGCCACCTTTCTAATCCTCAATAAGAGGCCCACGTCTCATCCAGTATAGCCATATTCAAGTCCTCTTCCCATGAGGTTTTAAGTTTAGGTGAGGACGTCTCTTTCATTTTATCATAAAGCCACTAAACCAGCCCTTTATGAGTCGGGTCCAATAACAGGATGGTTATTGCTCTGGCAGAGAAACTGAGCCTGAAAGGTGAGACTGAAGAAAGTTTCTGGCTTGCAAATATCTAAAAAAATGGGATTTAGGTAAACCATATTTATTACCAAGTTCCTCAAAGGATGCCAACTTCTTCTCTATGAAAAGGTCCTTAAAATGAGTAAGCCCCCTGCGGTGCCCCTCCAGGAACACCACATCCTGAACAGGTGGTTTAACTTAAGAGAGAAAAGTCGTGGAGTTTAAAGTATTTCCTAAACTGGCCCCATATTTTCAGTGAGTGTTTCACTACAGGGTTAAAATGGGCTTAGCCCAATAATAAAACCAGAAATTGGGAAAGGCAAACCCCCCCTGCTGTTTGGGTTTTTGGAGTTGTAATTTATTAAGCGTTGGGCGTTTACCCTGCCAAACGAAGGACGAAAACATCGAGTCCAGTTCATTAAAAAAGTATTAGGAATAAAGGTAGGTAATGCCTGAAAGAGGTGTAGAAATTTGGGGAGTATATTCATTTTAAATGAATTGATACGTGGAAAAGGCGTCGACTTGGTGAGGGATCCCTTCACTTGGTTCAACAGCTGAATAAATTCTCTTTCAACAGGTTTTTATGTTTTTTGTCACTGTGATACCAAGGTATGCGAGTTTTTGTCTTTCAGTTCTCAGCGGCAAATTAGCAAAATCTGACAAATTAGCTTTATTGCCTATGGGGAAAAGCTCACTTTTGGTAAGGTTCAACTTATACCCAGAAATCTGACCGAATTGGCTAAATACATCGAGAGCAAAAGGCAGTGAGGCTGATGGTTTGGAAATAAAGAGTAAAAGGTCATCTGCATAAAGCGACACTTTATGTTCCATGTCATTCCTCCAAATGCCGGATACCCGTTTACTGGTCTTAATGCGATTGCTCTATGGCCAGATCCAACAGCAGGGGGCCAAGAAGACAGCCCTGATGGATGCCTCTTTGTAGTTTAAATGGTTTTGAACTCTGAAAACTGGTACGAACTGTGGCAGATGGTTGCTGGTATAATAATTTAATCCATGAAATGAAGTTTCCTCCAAAGCCAAAACTACTAAGAACCGCGAAAAGAAAGTCTCAAACCCGGTCAAAGGCTTTTTCAGCGTCCAAAGAGACGCACTCAGCCGAATCTGGGGCACCGGAGTGAACAATGTTGAGCAGCTTTAATGAAACCTGTTTGGTCTTTTGAAATAACCAATGGTAAAACAGTTTCAAGTCAAGAATTTTGGATAAAATGTTGACATCTGTATTTAGGAGAGAGATGGGTCTGTATGACCCCACTGGATCTTTGCCCTTCTTTGGAATAAGTGCGATACGAGCTTCGTAAAATGACTGAGGAAGGAATCCTTGTTTCAAACCATCAGAAGGTGGAGCTGAGCTGCACAGAGAGCAGGTCTGAGAATCGTTTGAAAAATCCTGAGGGGAACCATCCGGACCCGGGCATTTGGCAGATGGCATTGAGGCAATTGGTAGGAGACTTCTGTCTGGGAGATGGGTTCATCTAACTTGTTCTTAAATTCTGGTGAGATAGAAGGAATGTGAGGTTTAGCTACAAAGTCATCAATGATGTTAGAATTGGTTTGTGACTGTGAGCTGCAGAAAAGTCCCTAAATGCATCATTACTGTGTCCATGATCTGTGACTATCCTGCCGTCTTGTTTTCAAATTCTTGAAATAGTTTGCCTTGCCCTAGAGCCCTGGAGCATGGTTGCTAAAAGTTTGTCGCCATGCACGTAAAATTTGGATTTGTTAAGTAAAAGCAGGCGTTCAGCTGAGTCTGTTGTCAACAGGTCAAGTTTTAAGTTCAACACGCCTTTTGAACAGTTCGGAACACTGGTTCACAGCATATTTCACATCGACCTCTTTGATTTGTTTAGGTTGTTCTGTTCATAGGTGGATTATTTTGTCATTTTTGCTGAATAGGCAATAATCTGGCCTGATGTAGGCCTTAAAGGCATCCCATACTACAAGGCTGGAGATCTGGGAAGAGTTAGTAGCAAAAAAAACGTATCTCATCTTGAATAAACTTTACAAACTTGTCATCCGACAGCAGGGTTGAATTGAGACGCCACGGTCCAGTTCTTAGAGGGAAGAACTGGACCCCCAGTTCTTAGGGGGTCCAGTTCTTAGGGGGTCCCCCAGAACTGGAGTGAGTGGGCGTGGTCTGAAATAACTATGCTTTGATAGTTACAAGAGCAGATCCGCTGCAGCCATTTAGTATCTGTAATAAAATAATCGATTCTTGAATAAGTTTTGTGTACAGGTGAGAAGGATCCGTCTTGTCGGGGTTTAAAGTACGCCACACATCACGCAGCCCGTACTCAGATAGAAAGGATGACTGATGCAGATCTGCTTATGACATTACTTTTGAGGGATGAACGGTCTAAAGTTGGGTCCAGCCTACAGTTGAACTCGCCCCCCAGGACCAATGAGTATTTATTGAGGTCAGGCAGGGAGGAAAGTAGTTGTTTAAAAAGTTCTCATCTGCATTGGGAGCGTAAACATTGACCAGGGCGACCAGAGTTTCCCACTTACTATAATAAACCTGCCATGTTTATCAGCCACCACATTCTCGGCCTCGAACCGAGTCCTCTGGCTGATCAGTATGGAGACCCCTCGTGTCTTAACCTGAAAATGGGAGTGAAAACATCGTCCCTTCCACATGTCAAGAGACGACCCCGTCTGAGCTCCTGATGAGAGTCTCCTGCAGAAACGCCGCATCTGTAATGAATCGTTTAATATGGGAGAAAACCTTCCTTCTCTTCACTGGGTGGTTTAAACCTTTGATGTTCCAACTTAAAAAATTAAAATGCTGACTCATGGTTAGATAGGTATGATGTCAGCATGGCAGGCAGAGATGACGGCACCCTGCAAGAACCACCAGCAGTGACCTTAGCCGCCCCCCAAACATAAACAGCTGCCGAACAGAAAACAACAACAATGTGGCAGCAAGCGCTTCAAAAGTAACATTCCCAGAGATCCAGTCTTTCAGTAACTAACAACCTGGAAATCAGAGAAACAGAGCAAACTAACCACTGCTGGCCTGGAATAGGTACAAACCCCCCAGTGACACATTTTAAGACATATTTTACTGGCCTCTGCAAACACTCTAGAAAAATAGTAATGTAATAAAATTTAAAGCAACCGCAACAAAAAGCATGGAGAGAGGCTCCAGATACTGTTGGGTCAAAGCAAACGGGTATCAAAGCAGCTGCCCTCCATTCATCAGGTCCAGTCCCAGCCAGACGAATGGCCAGAATAAGTCCATTGGAAATAATGACACCAGGCTGTATTTACAGCACCTGCAGCCTGTTTCTGGAGTGAGCCCTGGTAAAACGTTGCTCCTTTATTGGTTTCTCTGTGGTTTTGGAAACCTCTTGATGAACTGTCGGGCCTCCAACACCGAACCGCTGGACGGGCTGGGAAGAGAAGAGCTGGCTTCAAGCCCCGCTTGTAGAGCCCCGCCATGATGTCCTTGTACTCCGCCCGTTGGGCTGCAGTCCTCCACAATACGCAGAGACGCGCCTTTGTAGTGGAGCTTTCCTCTCCTCCCGAATGATGAGGTCTTTGGTCAGGTATCGATGCAGGAGGATCACCGGGCGGGGAGGGCGTCCTGCGGCCCGTTCAGCTGCCAGGGAGCGGTGGGGGCAGCACCTCTTTCCCAAATAGCTCACAGAAGGTTGGAGGAAAATGAGTGGGGCGCCCAGTTTCAGTGTCTTCTGGCAGACTGAGGATGCGGACGGTCTGCGTCTGCTGCGGCTCTCCAGTCAGTCACTTTGTCTTTTAGCTTAGCATTTTCTTCACGGAGAGCCGCACACGAGTCTTCGAGGCCCGCCACTCGCTGGCCCAGATCCTCTGTTGCTGGCTCCAGAGAGGAGACCTGCTCTGTTCCTCCAGGTCTGCCGGACCTGGTCCAGCCTGGAGCTCAGCATGTTGGCAGAAGACTTCAGGTCCTCACCGTGCTGCTGACCCAATGCGGTGAAAGCCTCCAGCGTCAGGCTAGCGTCCTCCTTCTTGCTTCCTTTCGCGCTCTTACAGGCCATAACTAGAGGATAAATAACCAAAATACTGTTTCTGTATTGGTGGGTGGCATAAAATTAGGTTTCTGGGTGAATTTAGTTAAAAGGCTGGGTGTTTCCGGAGCAGACCGTTGCTACGTCTACCCTGTCCGCTTGGCAAACCGGAAGACGCTGTCTGATTTTTTAACTATTTATTTGCAAATTATGGTGGAAAATAAGTATTTGGTCAATAACAAAAGTTCATCTCAATACTTGATACATATTTGTTGGCATTGGCAGAAGGCAAACGCTTTCTGTACGTCTTCAGCAGGTTTCACAAACTGCAGCTGGCCCTTTCCTCCAGGCAGCGGCTTTCAGGATCTGAAGATCTCAGCCACTCTGTGGGTTTGGGACACGGCCTCATTCATGCCTTCATGACCAGTCGTCCTGGTCCCTCTGCAGAGAAACAGCCCCAAAGCATGATGCTACCACCCCCATGCTTCACAGTAGGTCTGGTGTTCTTTGGATGCAACTCAGCATGCACTCCCCTCCAAACACGACGAGTTGTTTGTCTGGCCATACGACATTTTGCTGATGCTCTCTGGTTAACTCCAGATTATCTCTGGTTAACTCCAGATTATCTCTGGTTAACTCCAGACGGCCTGGAAAGCAGGACCCGAGTCCCTGGGACCGACAGCCTGCAGTCTTTCACCAGGTTCCCCGTGTGCTTCTGAGAGTTTTGCTCACCATTCTTGCGATCATTTTGACCCCACAGTGAGATCTGATGGAGGGAGATTATCAGTGGTCTTTTATGTCTTCCATTTTCTAATTATTGCTCCCACATTTGAACTCTTCACACCGAGCTGCAGATTTGCTTCAGCTCGTTGGTCTGCAGCTCGGTGGAGTTTGGACTGTGACTGAAACAAACAGTAACGAGTGGAGGACAGGGGAGCGTCTTAATGGAGAAGTTGTGGGTCTGTTTGGTCATTATAAATATTTTTCCACCATAATTTGTAAATAAATCCTAAAACAAATCAGAATGTGATTTTCTAGATGTTTTCTGATCTCATAGCCGACCTGTGATGTCACTTTCAGGCCTCTCATCGTTTTAAGAGGGAGAACTTTGAAATACTTTTTTCCCCACTGTGTTACCTTCTAACCCGTTGGTATCAACACGGTTTAATCCAGCTCTTTAGCATTAGCAGGAGCTAATGCTAAAGAGCTGGTTCCGTTTGACCAGAACCAGCTCTGAGTTCAGAAAAACTTCCTGCTGGGAAATCTCCATGAAGTTCATAACTCCGTTTCCTCCTCGGCCTGCCGGTCGCCACGGCGCCCAGGAAGCTGACCCCGGGTCAGCGTGTGTACGTCAGCCCCACTAGACGCCGTCACACAGCAGAACCAGAATCTGGACAGGGCTCTGAGCTGGTGCAGTGCATGGTGCTGCAGCCTCACCACGGGAGCAGCAGGTGGCGCCGTTGTGCTCCGGATTGCTCAGCAGGTGTTCGGCCATCTGATCTGCCGTCTGAGGCAGGAAGTCGCATTCAGAGCAGCGCAGTAGGAAGGCGCTGCAGGAGACAAAGCAACGAATCAGCACGCAGCGCTACGACCAGGACACTGAGCCGGCAGCTGATTGGTCCTTACCAAGGGGGCGGAGCCTTCTGCAGAGGAAGTACCCTATCCCTGGAGCCGCGGACGTGGTGGCTGGAACCCAACAGAACCACAACTAGTTAGAGAAAAATCCAACAGAACCACGTTCTGTTTCCCAGGATGATTGTTTGTGTTGCGCAGCGCTGTCACTTCTGCCAGTGAGCCATTGGTGAAAGCTAAGCGCTACTAGCAGAGTATAAATATCTACTTGATATAGTTTTTTTGATACTTTAAACCAGAGACTGAAAGCGAAGTATTAAAGGTAGTGTTTAATAATGCCTACATTTAATTCACTTAATATTTTTCATCTGTTTCCACTTGTGCGTTTTTCCACACTTCATAATTGAGAATAAAGTTTAAATGCAATAAAATGTTTTCTTCTTAATAGAAGGACCTGAATTGCTTTATTTTTCTTTCATTAATTTCTTTTTCTAGCTTAAGTAGCTACTACCAAACACGACTCCATTCCATTTAGTCAGAATAATCAATGGATTACTACAATAATCACAACAGCCCTACTATGTAGTACTCTCTGCAGTACCCTGTAGTCCTGGGTGGTACTGGGAGTCTTACTGGATCATGTGGGCAGCGTAGGCCCGGGAGCAGCAGCTGCTGTAGGGACACAGCAGGCAGTGGACGTAGGTCGGGAAATGAGCCGTCAGGTCCGAAGCGTCGGTTCCACACTCCAGACACACCAACCGGTCCGCCGACCAGAACCTGCAGGAGACAAGCGGGCTGAAGGAATGCTCAGAACCTGACAGAACTTCTCCGGTTACGGTTTAATTCTTAGTGACATTTTAGCTCTTCCAGCCGGGCTGTCCTCTGCTGCTCTCTGCAGGATGGACGTGGCGCTGCAGCCTCACCTGCCGGGCTCCCGGCGGCCCGGACCCCTCCGGGTCGGGGATTTGGGAACCTTGAACAGTGGGGGGTTCTTCTGGATCGGGAACATCGGCTCGGTTTTGATTCTGTTGGGCTGATAAATGCAGTTTGACGCTATTGGAGGCCTGACCTTCCCATAGGTCCGGATCGTCACCTAGAGACAGCGACAGAGCACACACTGCCTGAGCAGCTGTGACATCATCAAACACTGGAGCAGGTGTGGGCGGGGCTCACCTTTGACCCCGGCGGCAGCCCCTCCAGCTGCGGCGGCCTGCGGAAGCTGCGGTGGTTCTCCACCTTGTGCTGCATCTTGTCTTTAAGGAAGGTGAACTGAAGGCGACATCTGTTGCAATGGAAGGCCTGGCTCAGCTGAGACAGGAAAACAGGGTTTACCTTTCAAAGTAAAAGCTCTTTCACTTTACTCACCTGCAAGAACAATCAGAACCTTCAGATGATTCCTGCAGCTCCCAAAGTACTTAAAGGGACAGGAGCAACATGGAGACTGAACTACCAGGTGTGTGTGTGTGTGTGTGTGTGTTCTTGTCTGCAGCACATCACGTGACCAACTTCACCATGTTCACCCACAAATTGAGGTTATAGTGGAAAGTGAGGACATCTTCCTGGTCCTCAGTCTTGCTGCGATTTGCTAGTCAGGTTTAGAGGTTTGGAGCGAAAAAATGTTTGAGTATGCTTAGGGTGAGGAACAGACTAGTGATGGTGAAAGAAAATGCCTGGGTAAGGCACGAAGCTAATGATGCTAATGACTAGAAGTTAATATAAAATCCTAATATGGGTAGAAATTAGTGCTGAGACTTTAATTTTACTGATTTTAATGCATTTGCAATACTGGCACACCTGTTAATCTGATGTACAAGCAACATCTGCAAACAGCAATGTATGATGAACCTGCTTCTCAGTTTCTGCTTCTAAACGATCTGATTGGAGATCGTTTAGATGTTGTTGTTGAACAACAACTTGTCATGCTACAAGGTCCAAGTTGTGCTAAAAGCAGTTAGTCCATCAGCAAAGCTATTAAAGCCTAAAATAGCATATGAATGCTAACATGTAGCAGAAGTACAGATGCTAATGCCAATATTAGCATCCACAATCCACATTTCTAAAGAACCTCCATGAATGATCAGCAATGGGTGTGCTGTGGTGGTGCAGGAGTTAAGCACAACCCACATATGGAGGCCTTAGTCCTCCACGCGGCCGTTGCAGGTTCGATTCTCAGCCTGGTGGCCTTTGCCGCATGTCTTCCTCTTCTCTCATTACCCTCTTTCCTGTCAACTAACTATCAAATAAAGGCAACTAGACCCAATAAATCTTAAAAAAAAAAAAAAAAGAATGATCAGAGAAACTCTGGAAAGATGAATGGAAAGAAAAACACTTTGCTCCACCCTGATGGGTGAAGAACCTGAACATTAAAAACTAGAAACAGGGTTTTCCCCAGTGTATTATAAGCCTGGCGGCCCACCATGCTTTACTAGCCCCCACTGCATTTTTTTTGTTATTAGAAAAATTAATAATGGAAATTTTTTTTTTATTTTTATTAATTTCTTTTTTTTTTTAAAGCCGGATTGAATGCATCTGTGTTGCTCTGAGCTTTTTACTGGCGCAGCAGATTTATTCCTAAAAACAAATCTGCTCTGATCAGTTAATAGTTTATGCATTTAAAGCCGGCAGAGCGGACCAATCACACCGCTGGAGCCTCAGCGCGCTGCCGCTGCTTGATCTTTTAAGTTTACCTCAGCGCGGATCAGGCGCTCCTCTTTTCACTCAAACTGGACCCAGGCTGACCTGTATGGATATTTACATCAACCACTGTGAGGAATTATGATTCTTTGGAGAACTCCACATCAAGGTAGGAGTTTAAACCCACCGTGTTAGCTCTGGTTGAGCAGCTCTGTGTGAACCACAGGAATAACGTGGCGTCAGGGGCGCACTACATATTATTCACGTGGATGCTAAAACATAACCCCCCCCCCCCCCCCCCCAAAGGAAGGTAGGAGCGTAGAAAACATATGGCTCTATCCGTATGCGTATGAGGATCATATGTTTACCCCCCCATCCCCCCGAGACGAAGACACATGAAAGGTAAAACTCGCTACATTTACATGTGCGCGAGGTGAAGGAGCTAAGGGCGCGGTGAAGTGTATGCGAGGGCATCATCGGGGCGCCGCCCCCTCCAGATTGACGCCCCCTCTGGTGCAGCGCCCCTATGCGTTGCATGCGCTGCATACCCCCTTTTTGCGCCACTGCGTGGCGCTGTCTGCCCTGTAAAGTTCATGTCTGTGATCCCGGTTGGTTGGAGCGTTAGCGGCTAACAAACCAGCGCTAACCCCATCTTGCAGGTTCAGCCCAGTGAGGAGCTTTCACGCTGCTTTTATTTTATTTTATTATTATTCTTCCGGTTACACGAAGCATCAAACCGTATCAGACGCTTTGTCCACTTAGTCAGCCAGAGTTAATGAGCGAGGAGATCTGAGAAACTCGTCCCATAAACTCCAGCAACCAGAACAGTTTCTGTGTCGCTTATTAAAACTCAACAGACATGAAATGTCAGAGCTGCTAAAGCCACATTAGCAGCATTGAATTAAATCTCCTGTTTGTTGCTCATCTCTGCTCAGTGCAGCAGATTTACCTCATCCTGCAGGGCCGGTCCAAGGCTGATGAGGCCTGGAGCAGAATCTGACTGAGGGGCCCCATCAGCAGCTCTAACTGTGTTGGATTTAATCTGGGAGAGGAGGAGGAGTTTAACTGGCCAACATAAAAACAATCAGTTATCATCCAGTTTACTTTTGTGTTTGTGGGCAAACAGCTCAAACTCAAAGATTAAACTCAGCATCAGATTGTTGCTATGGTAACAAAACAATCTAACTATGAATATTGTTCTTTGAACTTTTACAAAGTAAACTTACCAGCTCCTTAAAATTTTACATTTAAATATTAACCAATTTAAAATAATTTATGCTGAAGCCATTAAATCAAATTCAGCAGCATTGATCATCTCAATAAATAAATGTTACATTTATGTATCTGTGTTAAAATATCAGCATTTATGGCTCCTGAAGCCCTGAGGGCCGATGGAGTCGCTGACTTATTTTGGATTAAACACAAGTGCAAATAACTGATATTCATTTAAATTGTATTTTTAATTTGTTGTTTTTAAGATTCTATAGTTGTGGGTTTAAATAGCGTTTCACTGGAGATGTTTTCCTGTAACATATAATTATCCAGTGATATTTTTATGTTTCCTGTCAACTTAACATCTTTAATACAAAAACATGGCGGAGCGCCGGGCTGAGCAGGTTTACTGGGGGAAACCCTGAAGAAACATCTTTGTTGTTCAGCAGTGATGCCTATTTATTCAATAATTTAGCAGCAAAAAGGGGTTTGAGTTGAAAATGTTTCTATTGACAACTAGATCTGTCAATATAGTTTGATTAAAATTATATTTAGCTTAATCAAACCAGGACTCAGTAGCTGGAATACAAACGTGTGTGTGTAAAGGTGTATGCTCACCTTGTGCCTGAACAGGTGCTGCTGGTAGTTGCCGGGGTTCTTCATCACCTTCAGGCAGAAGACGCAGAGCAGGAACGGCGTCTCTCTGTGGAATGTGGCAAAGTGCTGCACGACATCCGAGTAGAAGGACGAGCGAAATGAGCACACCTGGAGACACACCTGAGGTGAGAGCTAGCGACGGGAAAGAGGAGGTGCGGGGGGCGGGGCACTCACCTGGCAGACGTAGGGCATCTCGCCAGGCTTGTGGTTGGACTTCATGTGGTTCAGGAAGGCCGGCTCGCTGTCGAAGGCCCACTCACAGATCCGACACAGGCCTGGAAGAGAGGACGGACAGGATGAGGCAGCGGCAGGAGAACACCTGGCCGCCGCAGGTGAGGCTCTTACAGGTGGACTGGGCAGAGCCATGGACCTGGTCCTGGTGGTCCCTCAGCTGGCTCTGGGACGAGAACTGGCGGTAGCAGAACCGACAGCACTGACGCTCTCTACTCTCCACGACCAGCTCCGAGTGGTGCAGGACATGCTGCATCAACCTGGAGGCACAGGTAAACTGGTGAACAGGTAAACAGGGGTTACGGTTAGGGTTAGGATTAGGTGAGTCCAGAGGAGTTTTGGGAATTTCAGGCGAATCCAGGTGAGTCCAGGTGTGCCCACCTGAGGTTGTTCTCTGCCCTGAAGCAGCAGATGTTGCAGGTGAAAGAGAAGATGGCGGCTCCAGGCGGCGGCGGCCTCCTCAGGCTGACGTCTCCGCTGAACCTGCCGTAGTAAAACTCCTCCACACTCATCACCACCCGGGGGGGCGCAGCCACGGTCGCCGTGGTAACCACACGCTGGGTGGGGCCTGGAACTGTGGGGGCAGGTGATGCAGCAACCGTTAGTCTGAACCGGTCCGCGTGTCATTATTGTTGCTATCGGTTACAGAACCGGATCACAACCACTCCAGGTCACTGACTAGACGGAGATGTCTCACCTGTGGCGGCACTGAGGGGCGTGGCCTTCAGGATTCCGTTGGTGGAAGCGGGCCGCAGGCCCGTAGAGCCGGCCAGCTTCAGGGAGCCGGCACCGCCCACAGGCGCCACCTGCAGGTTGACTGTAAAACAGCAGCAGAGTGGTGAGTCCAGTGGGTCGGATCGGAATCTGACGGAGCGTCCACGAGGCTCACCGGATCCCGGAGCGCCGGTTCTGATGGTCAGAGTGGTGAAGCCGGATCCCGGGTGGGCCGGACCGGGTCCGGTCTGGTTGTGAGACAGCATGGTGGACACGGTCACAGCGGGTCGGACCAGCTGGCCCAGAGGTGGCGCTGTGGAGACAAGAGGCAGGTGAGCGGGGTCAGAGGTCAGCGGCATGCGTTCCGGGCCGAGCGGACCTACACTGGATCAGCTGGACCGTCTGCAGGTTGGGCTGCAGGTTGAGAACCAGCGGCGCGCCGGGAGTCATCACCGTGGGAACCTGGAAGCCCTGCAACAGGAAGCGCGCCATCAGCATCCATGTCGCAATGGAAACGGGCCAGTGGCCTCAGGCACTGCCCCATACCTGCGCGGTGAGGAGGATGGGCTGGGTGGCGCCGGCGCCGGTCGGCAGGAGGAACGTTCCACCGGTGGTCTGCGTCAGGATGAGGGGCGGAGCCTGAGCCCTGAGTGGCGGGGCCGAGGCAGCAGGCTTGGAGGTGGAGACGGAGAGAGGTGGCAGAGGGGGCGAGGAGACGAAGGGTGGTGCACCTGAGAGACAGACAGATGAGCACTGGTGCACCTGGACTCACCTGGGGGGGCTGGGAGACTCACCTGCTGGGACAGGTGTGCTGGGCAGGGGAGACCTGGGGGGCGGAGTCTCACAGGGCGAAGAATCCTCCACTGTGGAAACAAAACATCAGGTCAACCTTTGATCCTGCTGCACCTGTCCAGGTGGACCAGCATCTCCAACCACACTGAAAACCCCCCTGACCTTCTAGCACCTTCTGCTAAATGTAATGATGATATGGCGCTTTAGCATTAGCTTCTGCTAAATCTAATGATGATATTGCACGTTCCAGTTCGCAGATCCACTGTAAAAGTTCTGAAGCTGAAATGTTCTGGTGTGAAGCTGAAACCCAGTCCTCTGCAGAACATCTCTAAAGATGCTGTTCTGTTCAGGTTCTTCCAGAAAATGTGCAGGTACCTGGAGCCCAGCTCAGGTCCAGAACCTCTGCAGGACAGAGCCCTGATCTGGACCGGTACCAGCAGAGCGTTTTTGTCTCACCTGGCTCTCCGTAGTTGTCCGTGTACTCCATGTCGTCTTCCTCCACGCTGTCGTCCACCTGTTGCCACGGTTCCAGTTCCTCCTCCTCACACTCCATAAACAGCTCAGTGTCCATGTTGCTATGGAGACAGAACAACCCGGGTCCGGTCCGACCCGGTTATGATAACTTTATTACAGAGTAATCTGAACGAGTTCAAAGGTCATGTGGAGTCAGCAGGGGCGCGGTATAAGGGGGAAAGTGATGACAATTCTAGGGGCCCTGACCAACAGGGGGCCCTCCACAATTAATTTATTATTCATAGAAAAAAAAATATTGAGGCCCTATCAATTACAAAATTAATCATATAACATATAATATTTTAGAAGATTGTTTTTAGCAGTAAAAATTGAATGTTCCCACTCCCAGACCAGAAAACTCATGTCCATATTTGCCCTGAACCCCCCATCTGCGTTAAATGGTTTGTTCCTGTTGGAGCTTCACCGTGACGCTGT